ATGGAGCACTGGGTGTTATACACAAACAATGAATCATGGAACACTACATCAAAAACTAATGATGTAATGTATGGTGATTAACATAACATAAAAATAAAAAAAAAAGAAAAGAAAGGCGAAAACAGTGCAGAGAATGTGAGCTTTGGAACAGAAAGATCTACAACTAAATCCTTACTTTGCTCTTTAACCATGACTTTTCTGAACCTGCATTTTCTTATCTGTTAGATGGAAGTACCATTGATCTCAGAGTGGCTGTGCAGATTAGAAGTGATAATGAAACACAATGCTTAGAACATAATACATGTTCAATAAATGCCACTTTTCTCCCGCTTGGCAATCTGGGAGTAGCAATCTGACTCCACAAAAGCTACGTTCTTAGCTGCTCACTTGACCCAGCTATAAAATTCACCTGCATTTCAAATTTTTTGCTTCTGCAGCACATGGTTTACATCCAGGACTGGTTCTTGCTTTAGAATGCCCAACTAGGGCTGCCAGCTGGTGGCTACATAGTACAGTGCCCTTAGCTCCAAAGGAAATCCTGGTGGTCAGGTGCAGCATTAAGGCTTATCCCGCATGGCTCTCAAGAACTCATGATACCGTAACATGGGGATCTCTTGTATTGCACTCAAGTCCTTACCTCTTTTAATGGAAGGATAAGTTTTGTAACCTGATCTTTTCCTACAAACTTGCCCAGGATTTCATAAGAATCGTAACTTTTGCTTCTTCGTGCCTCCATGACTTTGGAGAGGATCTGCTTCACTTCCTTCTCTTCAGCAATGGCACCAAACAACTCATGGTTAAAAATCTTTGAGAGAAAAAAGCCAAATGGCAATTATATGCAATCAGCAAGATACGTCAACATAAGTAGTCTCTGATACATCCAGATCAGGGGAAAGCAAGTCAGACAGGACTGAAATTAGATGGTAAGAATTCCTATTAGATTTCACTTTTCCAAGGTAGTTCAGGGACCAATTACTGAAAGACAAGCAAATACAGAAACACCTAAAGGTTTTTTCTAAGGGTAAACAGAAGAAGAATACTATATAGATTTACATATATAATTACGGAATATACAGACAGGTACTACTTCTTTGATATTACCAAAGAGCAGCTTAATTTCTCTTTAAAAAACTCATATGATATGATATTTGCAACTTAATTACCAAAACTGATGTGTTTAATTCAAAATGTTTAAGTGTCTACATTTTTTTATAAACAAGGACTGTGTAGCACTTAATCCCACCCCCCAAATTATCACATTATCCAATTTTAAAAACTGATTATTAATTTTTCATTATTCTACTTTTCATTGTTCTAGGTAACACTTTATAACTTTTATATAAACCGCAGACTAAATGTATCTCTGATTATTCCTTTAAAACAGATTCTTGGAAGTAGTTGAAATTTTTGCTGATTTTAAAGTTCTTGATACACAACATCAGCTTTCTTTCCAGAAAGGTTACACCAAAACTCACGACCTACTGGCAGTGGCAGGTGCCCATCTCACGTCACTTGATCAGCTTTTTAAACCTCTGCTAATCTAAGAGATAAGACAGTACATTATTTTCATTTCTATAGGCTACAATTATTCCTTAATTTGTAAACTGATTTCCTGTGTCCTTTGCCCAGTTAAAAAAAAAACAGTGAAACTTCCTTTTTCTAAATCTTACCTCCATCATTATATCTAAACAAGAGTCCAAATCCCCAACTTGTAGCTTGTTCGTGAGGCCTTGCAGCAACATGTAAACAGTGAAAGTTAGCACATGGACCTAAAATGAAATGCACAGTAAGAATATGAATGGTGAAGAATACCACATTAGGAAAAAAAATAAGGTCTAGGAAGTACTGCAGAGAGCACTCAAAGTAATATCTGGCATTACTATAGGGAGAAGCTTTGACAAAGATCACCGTGTAAAAGACTAACCAAATGATCACTTTGAGCAAGATGCTCAGAAACACATTTCCATGCTTGGGATCTATTACTGACTATGACTAAACCAGGCCAGATTTATAAAGAAAGGCACAAGAGCCTTGAATTTTAAAAACCAACCTGTGAATTAAGGGGCTTGCCAATGTTGAGTGCAATCAAAGCTGTTCTGAAGGAAACAGACAAATTTTTGCCCTTAATATTAACCATCGCTAACATTCCTAAGAGCTTACTATGGGCTATTAGTATTAATACCACATACATGTATTAAATCATTTAATCCTCACCCACTGTATCTATGGCGTAAGTGCTATATTATCAGCACTTTTCAGATGAGGAAGCTGAGGCACAAAGAGATCAAGTAACTTGCCATAGTTTGCATGGGTAGCAGTGGTAGAGTCAGGATTTGAAACCATATGGACCAGTGCCAGAGCCCCTGCTCTGTATCACTATACTATGTTGCCTCTCAAGCTTTTTGCATTCTTTATGCTGCTCCTAATGCTATGAAATTATCACAGTGAACATCAGATAATGATCACAGGCTAAGGAAACAATTGGTTATCAATATATAGATTGGATTTTATTTTTTAAGTAATCTCTACACCCAGTGTGGGGCTCAAACTCAACCCCAAGATCAAGAGTTGCATGCTCTACTGACTGAGATGGCCAGGCACTCCTCGATTGGATTCTAAAGGCATAATTTCATATGTATCTACTGGAGATCTTTATGTACTTTTATATACTTAAAATGTTTGCTGCGGGCTTTATACTTAAAAGTCCTTTTGGGGGGATGAAGAATGACATTTGAGGAGTACAATTTTGAATAGTGTCTCCCTATCCAGTTAACACTAAAAACCAAACTAGTTGTTCTCTCATCCCTATTTTAATTATTTTAACAAATCATGGAATGGACTTAAAGAACAGGTGGTTAGAGAAAAAAGGGTTACTCATTTAAGTATCTCAGGTGCTCCATTAAAATATAGATGAATCCAAAAGACAGAGATATACTGTATTTATCCTTCTATGCCCAGGCCTAACACCGCACGTCACATAAAGCAGCCATGGAATAAATGCTGGTTGGAAGAACAGAATAAAAATGAATACTGACAGGGGCTCTGATCCCAGGTAAGATGAAGAAAGCACACTCTACTCTGTCTCTCCCACTGAAAGCAGCTGTTAACACCTGGAAAGGATGCACGGAACAGCTACTGGGGAAGAACACCAGAATGCAAATACCACCAAACTTCCAGGGAGTTTACCACTGTTTTCTGTTCAGTATCCCCCAGCTAACATGCAAGTGGATGCCAGGACGAAGGGAACTCTAGGAGAAGCCCCATGGCTTGCCTAGTAGGAACAGGAACATATAATGCTCTAAGTGAGGAGGAAATCCCTGGTTTTCTTTCTTTCTATTTTCTGTTCTCCCACACCCCAGCCCCCTACAATCCTGCGGTGATGGTGGTAGCAATGGCCTAGAAATGGGAATTGGCAGGAGCCACAACTCTGTGGGAGGGGACCTTCCTCTGCTTTAGTGGAACTGCATGCTGAGAGGGTAGGCCAACGCTAGCTACTCTTCTCTTTCTGTTTTGCCACCACTAGGCCCCTCCTGTGGGCACAGCCGTGGGAAGTGACAGCAAAATGGGAGCAATAAAGCCCCAGCTTTCTACATGGAGGACTGAAACAAACGGAAAACTACAGTGCTAGCAAAGAAACTGAAGATACAAAGAATTAAATGGAAATTTTAGAACTGAAAAACCCAACAACCAAAGTAAGAAATTCATTGGATGAGCCCAGCAGCAGGATGGAGATGAAAAAGGAAGGAGTAAGTGAACTCGAAGACAGATCAATAAAAACTATTCACATCCAAACTACAGAAAGGAAGAACTGAAAAAATAAAAAACATGAAGAGAGCCTCAGGAACCAGTGGGACAAAAACAGAAAGTCTAATATTCATTTCACTGGAGTTCCAGGAGAGGACAGAGTACAGGGCAGAAAAAGTATTTGGAGAAATAATGGCTCAAAACTCCCCAAATTTGGGGAGCAAATCTCAAATACGCTACCCCCCCCGTAACCCCCCAACCACAAAAAGCAAACTCAATTACATCATAATCAAACTACTGAAAAATAAAGGCAAAGAAAAAGTCTAAAGCAGCCAGAGGAGAAAAAGATGCATTACTTAGAGGGGGAAAATGATTTGAATAACTGGATTATTCATCAGAAAGGCCAGAAGGAAGTGATTCAACATTTTTAAAGTGCTAAAAGAAAAGTACTATTAATGATAACTGAAAACTAAGAGCATCTGCTGCCACCATACTTGCCCTACAAGACTGCTGACAGAAGTTCTTAGGCTGAAGGGAAACAATTACCAGAAACTTGAAAATTCAGAAATTAAAGAAGGGCAGCAAAAATGATAAATATCTGGGCAAACTAACAGACTATTTTTTTCTTCTTGAGTTCTTTAAAATATGTTTGACATTTACAAGCAAAAACTGTACCACTGCCTGATGAAGTTTTCAATATATGGAAATATAATAGACAAACAACTATAAAATAAAGGATGAAGGGGTCCATATGGGGGTAAGGTTTCTATATTCCACTTGAAGTCGTAAAATACTGATTCTAAGTAGAATATTAAAAGTAAGTATGTATATGGTAATTTCTAGAGCAACCATCAAAAAACTATTCAAAGAGAGACAGTTAAAATGAATACTGATATTTTAATATGTTAGATTTATAACCTATAGAATAGGAAGCTTACCTTTGAGCAAATTCAGATACAGAAAGTAAAGCTAACTACCAGAAGTCTTGACTGGATACTTGAAAAAAACAAGCTACAGTTTTTCTCAAACTTGATATCACTCAGGGATCTTACTGAAAGCAGATAGTGTAGGTTAGGTGTAGGGCCCTAAATTGGGCATTTCTTTTTTAATTTAATTTTATTTCATTATGTTATGTTAGTCACCATACATCATTGGTTCTTTTTTTTTTTTATTTTTAAGATTTTATTTATTCATTTATTTGAGAGAGTGAGAGAGAGAGAGAGCACATGAGAGAGGAGAGGGTCAGAGGGAGAAGCAGACTCCCCGCCGAGCAGGGAGCC